ATTTTATCAATCAATCAATCGATCGATCGATCGATTGATTGATTGATAAAATATAGTATTTCAGAACCAAAAAGAGCAAATATAGGCATATTAGAAAGAATCAAACAAATCCCCATGTTAAAAAAATGGTAAACAAAACCAATGCTAAAAAGAGATTCAAAGCAATAAGGCATAACACTCCATTAAAAACCTTTCTCAGATAGCCATTCACTAATGGAAAGCCTGCCTGAAGATAAAGATCTTCACCTACTTGCAGGACAGCAATGACGGGACAAGCCTGGCCTCCTGTGGCAGGGAGTTCCAGAGTCTGGGTGCAATGACAGAGAAGGCCTTATTTCATTTTTCCAGCAGACATGCAACATGAGAGAACAACCTGTTAAAACCCTTCAAGTGGGGAAAGCACATTAAGCAGTATTTTCATAACTCATAAAAGAGAAACAGGCAGAGGAAGAGAGAAACGGAAAGAAAGAAAAAGAGAGTCAGACAACTATTTCCTTGCTTCATCACTTCTATAGTTAAGGTGAACTTTGTGTTTGTACCAAAAAAATGGAACATTTTGAAAAAAAGGGATATTCTCTGCAATGATACTGTCCATTCTACAGCCATCTCATTCTGCTGCTTGTGGAGTCCATTTGCAATTGTTCCTTTAGACCAGTGGTTTCCAATTTTGAGTTCCTCCGTGTTTTTGGACTAAAAAACTCACAGAAGCCTTCATCCTCTAGCTATGCTGGCCAGGATTTCTGGGAGTTAAAATCCAAGAACATTTGGGGACCCAAGGCTGGGAACCACTGCTCTAGAACACAATTAAGATCTCCCCAACTTTCTTTCCTAGTTTCAGAAAATGTGCAGCCAACAGGAGTTGGCGATTTGACAATTTTGGAAGGTCTGGAGAAGGCAAATTTCCCACCCACCCCAGGGCCTGCCTGTGTGAGTGAGCCACGCAGGTCACAAAAGAAAGAAAGAAAGAAAAAAGAAATTAAAAGTGGCTAGATGTCTACTTCTTTTTGGAAAGAAAATCTGATTAATTGGATGGTTAATAGTGTGGAGGAACCCTGTGACATCTTCAGATGGTGAACTTGGCACTACTGGAGGCCTCCTACATCATATATTTATAATAATACGTGATTTCAGCTCATAATGATAGGATATCTGTAAAGTATAATTTGGTCCTTAGTTCTCTTGGATAAGATAGCGCTTAAGATTTAAGATGCAATGTATAAAATCTAAGATGTCATATTTTTGTCCATTTGAAATGTGCACCCAAGCACTACGAGGACTTCTTAGAATGCAGAAGATCCACCTCTCCTTATTGGATAACGGCCAATGCCTGCACCTCTCAAGTCACACACACCTTTTCTCGGGTATAGAGGCCTCCCAGAATTGAGTGAAACATCTTTAAATACACAAAGAGATCCTCCATCTACAGTATCAAAATATCATAATGATTAGCTCTCACAGATAAAATAGCACCAGGCTGTCCTGAACTATTTCTGCTTAACAAAGGAATGACCAACCCTGAACATTCATTTGGATCCTGGTGACTTGCAGACATCGGTAATTACTAACTGTGGGAGGAAGGAGTGGCCGGGTGGAGCTTATAAAGAAGGCACTCCTCGGTCCTGCCATTTTATCTTAGATGAGACATGGCTTCTATTGTGACTTCTCTCATATATGGCTGGGTGCTCCTACCATTGCTGACAACAAGTATAGGTAAGGAACATTTGCTGTAGCTCATTTAAACTGGATTAAGATATTCCTTATTCCTGATTTTGGTAGATCTCTGGCAATACAACAAGGATTATGCAGACATCTGTATATTGATTACTGGACTGTAATGAAGTCAGCTGAGGAAAAAAACAGAAAAGGAAGGGTTCAGGATAGCGAAGACTAACTCAAAGAAGGTGGAAGTAAGCCTTTTGTTGTGGGGGCTGCTATACAAGAAGGGAAATCAGAATAGAAGGGAAACAGATGCCTGGATCCATGGATCACAACTGTATAGAAGAGTGATAATATGCAGGGGAACCAAGAACTGGATATACGGGCACAGAACTGGGTGTAGAGGGGTTGCATGTGTTATGTCTCCATCAATTTGAAACTGGCGTATAGCCACCCTGATAGGACTTTCAAGGTAAGTGACATATTTAAGAAGTAGTTTTACCAGTTTCACACCCCTCCCCGGTGACTTCACACCCAAGTCTCCTGAATGCTCATTTGTTACTCTATACACTGCACCACACTGGGCTGTAAAACATAGCGGAGCTTCCACAGAGAAAAACAAACCATTACCTACCAGGCTTCTGATCTGGGGAGTTATAGGAGAAACTTTGTACAGCCACCAGCTCTGCATTTCAAAGAAGATACTTGCAGACATCCATCTCTTTGGGCTATTATCCTGTACCCTCACAAGTAGTCATCCTTAAATAGCTGCCTACAACCAATAAGAAGTTACTAGGTTTAAGCATATTGTGAAGTCATAATCTAATAGCAAGTGTGTAGGCATAGCTGTAGATAGGACAAGACAGCTGTTTGCAGTCTGGCAGGTGTACAGAGATTTTAGCTGATTCTCACTGGGTCTCAATGTCAAAATTTGTTCCAGGTTCCAGACCTGTTGCTTTGTAACTAGGAACAGTCTAGGAACGAGTGGATCAGGAATGCGATCTACTTTTTTGCTTGCCTGTTCCTATATAATAGATCTTATCTGCATTCAGATAGAAGAGATCTGCTGAAATAATGAGGACTTAACTTCATCATGATAAACTTAAATTCAATTGTTCTTAATGGGGTTAATCTACATACAAGTCTAAAAATTATATTTCCACACTGCTTTCCAACCATAATGATTCTCTGAATGGTTCTGCTGAAACGAAAGAGTGCTGTGTGGTCATAACATAATACAAATGCAAGAGATGATACTGTATCTTTATGGCACACTTAAAATGCATACAGTTTGCTGTCTTTCGTGGATCAGGACTATCCACTTCTCAGGCTTGTATTGGTGTAAAGAATTTATAATCCCGATAGATTTAAAACTGGGTGACGATGAGGATGAACCCTGTGATGTGTATGTTTCTAAACATTTGCTAGCTGGATAGTATGGTCGCTTCCCAGGCCCTGTGCCAGATTTGTCACATGGGACATGCTGCTCTAAAACAGGACTAACCATATGCCCCAGTGCATATGTAAGTGCTACCTGTATTTGTTGCTGCCACAATGCAAGGGACCACATTAAAATTTTCTCTCTTTGTGTGTGTGTGGGGGGCAGGATACATGTTTTCCCTTTCTTTTTATGGGTTTTGGCTATGTCTTTTGCTGTCTAACTCTATCAGATTCTAAATGGGTCATGTCAGATGACAGTGATATTATTATTGTTCAAAAATACCAGGCACAGTCAATAAAAATAAAAAATAAAAACATTGACTGGTATTACATAACAGATACAAACTTTAACCAAAAACCTAATTATCTGTTAAATATCAGTTTCTCCTTCTCCTTCAGCAATCCTTTTCTACTGAGATCTTGAGATTTTTCCCTGTTTGTACCATAGCATAAGGAGCAGGGGAAGTCTGTTCTTCCCTTCAGCCATATTCTCCTGCGAATACCAAACAAAACCACAACACAACAAAGAAATCCCATCTCTCTCACACTGCCATTTGCAACAGTGCTGGGAGGAGATGTTTTCTCTTTCCCACCCAGCTGCATTCCGTATGGCAGCTTGCCTCCCTCATGAAACACAGAACTCTGTGGTAATGTGAAGATCTTCCTTTGATAGTGCCTCCTATTGAATTAACAACGAGCCTTGACTTGATTGGGCAGGGAGCCACCTAGTGTCTAGAAGCTGTGTACAAATAGTGAATTTCACTATTATGAAAATAGTGAAAGTAAACTCACATGAAAGGCTCAGAACTGATTCATAGAACCATAGAAAAGTGAAGTTGGAAGGGGCCTACAAAGCCATTAAGTCCAGCCCCCTGCTCAATGCAGGAATACAATCAAAGCATATCTGCCAGGTGATTATCTTTCTTGAATGCCTCTAGTGTAGGAGCACTCACCACCTCTCGAAGTAAATGGTTCCACTGTCGTACTGCTCTAACAGTTAGGACGTTTTTCCTGATATTCAACCAAAATCTGGCTTCCTTTAACTTGAGCCCATTGTTGTGCATTCTGCACTCTGAGATGATCGAGAACAGATCATCTACACACATCATCATCATCATCATCAACAATCTACCACCCATTCTAGACAACAACACTTTGCCTTGGGGGCTGCCCTGCACATGCTTATAGATAGGCCCCAATACTGCAAACAAGTATTGACAGACAAGAGATGATATAATTTGGATATGGGGACAGGGAACAAACCCTGCTATGAACCTAGATGGCAACTCCATTCCCACATCTACTCTGGCAGCACAATTACTAGCCCCCAAAAGTCACCCAGAATATCTGAGACTGGTTTTTTTTTTGTTCATCTGATAATGTGATCCATGCCATCCTTTGCTTGCAATGCCCTCCTCCATAATATAGAGGACAAACAGGGCAATCTCTAAACAAGATCATTAACGGACATAAATCTGATATCAGAATTTCACAACAGACAAAAACCTATTTTAGAACACTTTAGTTTCCCAGGACACTCTACAAAAGACATGAAAATAACTGTTGTAGGAAAAAACATAACTACAAAACAAGATTACCAAGAGACACAGTTGGAATCAGATCCATGCAAAAATTCCAGTGTGTATCAGAAGGATTAAGTATCAATCAGGGTTTCTTATTTCAAGATATGCATAAATAGTTCTCCCCTCAATCTTTTGCATGGATCAGACTCTTTGGCAGGCCTTCCGAAACTAAGGGCAAGTGATATCTTTTTTAGATTACCCAAATAATTACCTGCTGTTGATTGTAGGGTTGACCCTAAAAGGAATCGTTGTCTGCTTTCCCACCTCACAGCAAATGTGAAAACACCCACGTAAACCAAGACAGCATGTAATCAACATTCTTACAGTTAATTACTCATTTCAGCAATGTCATCGTCAACTCCCTGAACCTGCCTTGTATAAACAGGTAGTTTGTTTCACTCCACATCTGATGAAGTGGATTTATCCTTGAAAGTTCACAAGGAATACAAAAAATTAGTCTTTAAATTGTCATTATGTTTTTGTGTTTTGCTTGGTTTTTCCCCTAGATGTGTTTGCACAGTCTAACCCAACTACTTTATTGGAAACCACATGAAAGGCAGTGTGTTTGCTTTTTCCTGCTGTTGTTTTCTTCACACGAAGAGGAGAGCTTTCTCTGAGTCTGGAAGCTATCCACCATGATTTTTTTTTTTAAAAAAACTTCTTTGCGGTTCAGGCCCATCTCGAAGAGAAAGGAGGCTTTCTGTGTAGCTCAGCTACACAGAAAGCCACCCTTCACGGACACCAGCACCTATCTAGACTTCGTCCTCCTCTGTTGCTGTACTTTACAGCTGAGTAGGACGGCGGTCTCGGTTCTGCTCCTGTCCCGGTACTTTCTCAGAAGCTTAGGGTATTATAGGAAGTGTAGTTATTTCAGGGTTCCCTAACTATATAGCTCAATGAACAGCAAAACTGCGCTTCTCATAATACCCTCAGCCTCCCAGGAAAGACTGAGGCAAGAAGTGGGCCTCAGGCAGCCTACTGCCCTACTCAGCTGGGCAGTGGCAGAGCAAGTAAGTTAGATGGTGGGACCCATCAGGGGGAGATGAAGCAACATGAAACAACAAAGATGAAAAAGTTCAGCATTTCACTTCACTTCATGGAAGTGTGGTTTCCTGAAGTGCCCAAGAAATAAACCAGGAACCAGCCCAGTTTGTGGGGTCGTTTTTTTTTTTTTTGGTTCATGATTCATTTCGTGCCCATCTCTACTGCCAAATCATTCTCGCAAAACGTGTTCCTTGAGAGGTAACTAGGACGGTTAAAACAGTTTGACAGCTGTACATTTATAGGATATTTTCCAAGGTGTGTGAAAGCTATACATGAGAATTTCATTTCAGAAGCATGCTTTCACCTCAGGAAAACAGTAGCTCTCACTTGTGCAGCTGAATCACATTGCAGTGGAGACACACCACTTTAAGTCTCTCCTGAACTGCAGTTTGCCTCAGATACATCTCCTGTTTGTCTGAAGGTCGATTGCAAAACAAGAGTGCTTCTGAGCGTATGCAGTGTCATTTCCTCAGCAATCACTTCAGTCGCCATATATGTAAATAAAAGAATATGGCTCTTGAAAACCTATTGTTTGGCTAGAGTTTGTAACAGGGGTCGGGAGAGCACTGTTCATACATGGTCATCTCTTGATTACCTTTAACAGTGTTTCATACTGTAATGGCCACTTACATCTTATATCTAACGGCTGGATAGCTCAGTGGTTTAAGGCAGAAGTTGGGAGTTCAATTCCCCACTGTGCCTCCTTGACAGGGGCTAGACTTGATAATCCGTAGGTCCCTTCCAGCTCTGCAGTTCTTAGATCATTATTATTATTATTTTAAAAAGAGGAAATGAATGGCTAGAAAGGAAATCAAGAGAATACGATCCATATGCTGATTTATATTTGCAGCTGCAAAGTTAGAAATTATTTATGATTGTAACAGAATTAGAATGCTTCCTCCATAAGTGGGAGAATCAGGCACCACCTTTTTTAGTTTGCTATCCAGATGCTCAGTGTGAATTGGAAATGCCAGAGTATCAGATCTTTCATCTGTTGGTTCCTCGTCTTTAAATCAGATGGCTGGGTAGCTCTGAGTTGCAGTACCAAAGTCAGGTGTCAGGAGTTAAAATCTTCACTCTACCAACCTGGAGAAGAGCTAGCAGAAGAAGGGATTGGCAAACCGCTTCTGGGTATACCTAGAAAACTATGGAAAGTGTTGTCATAAGTCAAAATCAAACCAATAGCACGTAATTATTGTTATTATACTTAGATCAGAATTTGAAGGGATAGTTCTTCAGGCAAGATACCGTTAAAAGAAGGAATTGTCTTGTAGCAGTCTATGAATGGAAGATGTGTCCCCTATATGGAAATATTTGGACCCGTAATTCACACTGAAGTGATACATTGTATTCCTAGCTCCATCTCGTTTGTGCCACTTCCTCTGAATGGCCCACAACCCCTTTTCTTTTAACCTCTTGTGTTTCCTTTCCAGCTCCTCGTCCTTGTGTCTTCCCATTTATATATAAGCAGAAAAGCTACTCTTCTTGCACCAAAGATGGTGCGATTGATCTGAAGCTGTGGTGTGCCACAACGGCAAATTTTGACAGAGATCGTCAATGGAAGCATTGTGCTCCTTACGGTGAGAGATGTTGAATGTCATTGAAATTGATTCTTCTGAACAATACAATGTCTACAACGGGCATGAATCAGGAAAAATGTGATTTGTTTTGATATGTGATTCATCAAGGTTGATGAATTATGAATTACACATTTATGATTTTTTTTTCTGGTGACAAATTGATTTGTCAATTTGTTTTTGGATTTAAAATGCTATAAAACAGCCTTCCAAGCACGTAGAGACACCAAATTCACAGGAAAGCTTCTCCGACTCTCCTCTACAAGGCCTGCAAAGTTGGTGAACTTTGGGTCTTGGACTTCTGAGGTATACACCCACAAGGAGGATCCCCAAAAGAAAGTTCTCCCCAGGCACCTAGAGACACCAAAATCACAGAGAAGCTTCTAGTTACTCTCCTCTACAGTTCTTCCATGTTTTGTGAACATTGGGTTTCAGATCTCCAAGTTCTATATCCACAAAGTAGGATCCCCCAGGAAAATGCCCTCTAGCAGGCATTCCTGCATTTTTGTTGTCCATAGACGCTTTGGGTGGCTATTTTATAGCCAAATAACTCAATGAATCAAAAGTCACTAAAAATTTGTTGGTTTGTATTCATTGGAGGCATCGTTTCATAGGAATATTAATCGATGAATTAGCAGTTTTTGAATGAATTTGGTGATTCATTTTAAAAATCTGTGCTCATCTCTAGTATGAACTGGGTTTGGGCTATCTTATTGTTAGACCCATGTATGAGTTTATCAATTGCTGCAAGGTAGATCATCACTTATGTAAATCTCATTGATTTTGGAATTAGCAATAGGATACTGGCCTTTGTGACCTTTTCTGTTAAATGAGTACATTTGTTCTAGCTTGTTTGTGAATGGTGTGTCTGTGTTTGTGTGTGTGAGGGAGAAAGAAGGCGTGTTCTCCACTCTTTTTACATGGTGTCCTTGCCCTCTGCTGGCACAATGTTCTCCAAGATCCAGACCCAATGTGAATTTTAGGCTGAAAAAAAGGGCTCGTACGGAAAGCTTGGAAGTAATGAGTAACAAATAAGGCAGTGGCCAGTAATTACTTAGCTTTTGTGTGTGTGTGTTAACAATGCTGTAGGAAGTAAAGGTGTTCTCCTTTAGATGTTTGGTTTAACTTCTGGAATCGCAGCCCTGAAACGGAAATCAGCACATCTGCAGATTTCATCCCCTGCAGGAAAGGGCTTTCTGGTGATTTATCAGCACCATTGGACTCCTCTTGCCTTCCTACTTCCTGTGGTTGATATATAAAAGAACAAAGGAAGCTCCTGTAGTTTTTTCCTGGGAGGTGTAGTTTTTCAAGAGGATCCCTCATGGGAGATTCATTTGTGCTTATGTTTGAATGGAAATAATTCACATATTTTTCACTCTATTTTTTTTCCTGAATGTCAAAAACAGATGAACAGTTGGCACAATGAAAGGGAGCAGGCAAATACAAGGCTGGGATAGAACTTCCTGAAACTTTGAAAGTTCTGCCTTGATTGTGCTCAAGACACAGTTATCCTTTCACAGGATCACAGAACATTGTTTCTCCAAAAGGGTCTCCGAAGAAGTGAAATCACACATTCCTATTTGTACAACAGCATCTCTTTCTCTCTCTTTCTAGAATATGGAGGTAATTCTGGTGGGCAAAACTGCACCTTTCCCTTTGCCTACAAGAAACGGACATTCTATACCTGCACCAGTGAAGATGCGTTGTACGGGAGGTTCTGGTGTGCCACCACGGGGAGCTACGAAAAAGATAGGAGATGGAGCTACTGTGCTGACACCAGTAAGAATCTTAGAGGGGCTTAAATGAAGAAATGGGTTGAGATTGGTCAAGGAGATTCTTGGAACACTGAGACTGCAGGAGAAAGAAGGTCTGGGTTTCTGAGTGGGTGACAGCAGTATGTATTCAGCAGAAAGGCTCTGCAGTTGCAGAACAAGTGTCACATAGAACTTTGGGAGATGGTGATGGTGAAAGGTGCATTGAAAGAATATAGGACCTTCAGACCTAGAGTCCAAGGTGCTGTTCCTTGTAGAAACATCCATGAATTCATTCTGGCCAATGTTTCTGTGAAGTTTACCCAGTTTTCATGGCCTACAATGCCTGCAGGCTAAATGCAATTTAGATGGAGCCTGTCTGACAGATGCCTGTCAACTTGTGCCTGTCTGAAAGATGTACATAGAAAAACTAATGATGCAGTTGTAGCAAATTTCATGTCCCTAATGAGCAGGTCCATTTTAAAAAGGGTTTTCAAATTGCCCATTAAAGACTAGATAACCTGAATGCATTCCATTCCAATGCAAATGGATCACAATGCTGTGTGTATTGAGAAAGCCCCTTTCCCCAAGGACTGCAAGGATTGCAGCTAAACAGAAGGGAATGGGAAATCTGATGGGGCAGATGACATAATTGTCCGCATTAATCAAAAAGTCTCAGCACTGTGACCCCATGCACCCTGGATCCACTACACCGGTGCATCATTTCCCGGATTGAATGTTCCCTTCGAAAAATTCTTTTAGTCCCTCTAGGAAGGTAAAGACAGGAATAATACAGATTCCCATCCTTACTCCTAAAGTCAGTGGATTTATTGACAGATATGGCAGAGGGAAATTGGCCTCCCCCAAGGGACTAAACATTCTCCCTTGACTTCCTGATTTCACTGTTTTACAAAATTTCACTGCCCCACCTCCTTGCTTTAAAAAACATGTTTGGAGATCTAAGAATAAAGTTCCTGTATAGCTTGGCCTGGGAAGATCTTGGAAGTATTTGTCGTATAAGAACAACTCTCTGACACATGGACTCTCTCATGTATTCCTCTGCGTCTAGGATTAGCTGCAAATTCTCAAGGACCTTGTATTTTTCCTTTCATCTACAACTTCAAGTCCTACTCAACTTGCACAACAGACGGAGAAGCTTCTGGGCGGCTCTGGTGTTCTCTCAGCAGCAACTATGATATAGATTCCAAACGGGCATATTGTGAGCCCTCAGGTAAGGATTAAAATGGGGGAGAAAAGGCCCTGCTCCTTCAAAAATCTGCTTTGGAAGAGTTGATGTAGAGGTGGGAACAGCAGGATGATACAGCATGGTGGCTTAATATGATGTCCTAAAAAGAGAATTCATTCTGTAGTGACAAGGTTTGGAATTATAGCTTCACAGAACTCCAGGAAGCATGAACAGACATTCTTCCTCTTCCCTCCAAAATAGAAGCCAATTTTCTGAGTCCTCAAAGTTGCAACAGTGGTTTTCCCATGCAGTTCTTCCCAGAGTGTTGTGAGCTCTGTGTGTTTCACATCACGGTATCCGTCTGCACAACAAAGTCCAACAGGTCAATATGGCTGTGGGAATATTTTTATGTTGAAGTCAACTTGAGCACACACGACATTTGCGTAGGATGCATGAGCAGTAGATTTCTTGTTAAAGTTTTGGATCCATGTAGAGTTCTGTAGAGTTTAAGGCTGGCTCAACAGAACTAAATTGCCCCTGGACCATCATCATCACTCCTCTAGCTGCCTAAGTCCACCAATCCATTTTATTAATGCTTTTGACATGCTGCCAAGTTGCTTCTGACTTATGAAGTAATGATCTCCAAAACCCTATGAAGTAATGATCTCCAAAAGGTCCCACTTGGGTCTTGCAGACAAAAGACTATGGCTGTCTTCAGTCAACACCACCTCATGTTTGGTTTTCCTTTTTTCCTATTGCCTCCAACTTTTCCTAGCATTATTGTCTTTTCCAATGAGTGTTCTCATGATACCTCTGTATTACAATAGTTTCTATTTAGTACTCGTAGCTTCTAGGGAGACTTCAGGCTTGATTTGATCTCAAACCCATTTATTTAGGGTTTTTTTTAGTGGTCCATATTATCTATAAAGTGCTCCTTCAACACCACATTTTCAATTCATTGTTTTTGCCTCTAGCAACCTTCCTCACACTCCAGCTTTCATATCTCACAGCACCTCTTAAATTTATTCCACTCCTCCCTCTGTATATCCTCTTCAGAATCTCGTCCTTGCATCTTTCCCTTCATTTACAAGTCAAAATCCTACTCGGCATGTACCACAGAGGGATCTGCTGAAGGACAATTGTGGTGTGCCACAACAGCTAACTATGACAAAGACAGTAAATGGAAACTGTGTTCCCTTCAAGGTAAGGTATAAGATGGCGGCAAAAAACTGCTCTGATATTTCTTCTTATTGTTGTTGTTGTTATGTGCTGTCAGGTCACCTCTGACTCAGGGCAACCCTACGAATGGAGATATTCCCTATTTGGATATCATTATTATGTCCTTCCTGCAAAATCTACAAGTCTCATTATTTCCTCTTGCCTACTATATCTGTATACTGCTGCTTGCTGTTTAACATGGCCGTCCCTGTTGTTAGGCAGAGTGAGGCATTGGCTTTAAGCAGCAGGTTGTTGGGACATAACAGCAGACTCTTGGAAGAGAGAATTGTGTGTCATTCAACCTGCTGTTCAAATGCAATAACTGAAGAAAGACTAAACTGCCAATCCTGTCAGCTTCAGCACTTGGAACTGGAGGGAGTGCCATCCTGTCCTTTGCCTCAGGCTCCAACACATGTTGGGCCAGCCCTCATAGTTACAAATAATTACCTGGTATATATATTACAGGACTGTACAGGAGATGTCATTCATGTGAGATGGAAGAATGACATGACCCCACCATTTATTCTGTTCTTATCTTCTTGTATGAGTGAAGCTGCTTCCAGTTACACAAATCTGAAATGGTTTTCAATGCATTCCTATGGGAAATAGCGCTTCAACTTAAGAATGTTTCAATTTAAGAACGCAGTCCCAATACGGATTAAGTTCTTAAATCAAGGTACAACTGTAGTACTTTTGTTCTGCTAACCACAAAAGGGAATTACCAAATTTCCACAATATATATTCTATTCTCTGTCCCAGAATTAAGACATCAATACTTTCAAATGCTGGGGAACAAGGCAGGAAAGGTCCCTTACCTCATTCTTTGAGCTTCCCAGGGACACCTGTGCATCCACTTTAGACTACATAGACCTTTGGTGTGATCCATCAAGATTGTTTTCATATTCTGACATATCTTCTTGTTCCTTACATCCACAGAATATGAAGGAAGTTCCAAAGGTGGACCCTGTGTTTTCCCTTTTGTTGCAGAAAAACAGACATTCTACACCTGTACCAATGAACCTGCTAAGAACCAGAGGTACTGGTGTTCTACCACGGGAAGCTACGACAAGGACAAGAAATGGAGCTACTGTGCTGATACAAGTAAGATCACTGGAGTCTGGTACACCTGGAGCAACTGGTGTTTGTTGGGTAGGGATACAAAAACATCAATTAGACAATCTTTTGTTGGTGCCTCGCTTAACGACAATAATCTGTTCCAGGAAAATCGCTGTTAAGCGAAAACATTGTAAAGCGAAAATAAAAAGCCAATTGAAATGCATTGAAAACCGTTCAGTGCGTTCCAATGGGCTAAAAACTCACAGTCCAGCGAAGATCCTCCATACGGCGGCCATTTTTGGTGCCTGTATAACAAGGAATCCGTCCCTAAACACAGCAGGGAGCCATTTTAATTACCCAGTGGCCACTTTGAAACCACCGATCAGCTGTTTTAAAAAACCCATAGAAAAAAAACTATTTAAACCATCGTTTTGCGATCACAAAAGCGATTGCAAAAATGTCATCGTGAAGCGGATTTGTCGTAATGTGGGGTAATCGTAAAGTGAGGCACCACTGTATTTCATCAGTGGCTACTCTGGGTGAAATTAGATTAAAAAATTACAGTAGATTGTGCTGGAAAAGCTCACTTCCAAGGTGTTATCCTAAAAGTGACCCTCTAAAGTGATCCATCTGTTTGCTCGCAGACACACCAACCCACTCCAAAAACAGAGCACCCCTGCTGCTTGACCAAAGAAACTACCCTGTTTCCCAGAAAATAAGACCTAACCTGAAAATAAGCCCTAGTATGATTTTTCAGGATGCTCATAATATAAGCCCTCCCCCCAAATTAAGCCCTAGTTAAGTGAAACCCCACCCTCCACCATTGTGCAGCAACCAGAAGAAGATGACGTGACAGTATTTGAATAAATTTAGATTGTTGTACATGAAAAAATAAAATAAAACATCCCCTGAAAAATAAACCCTACTGCATTTTCTGGAGCAAAATTAATATAAGACCCTGTCTTATTTTCGGGGAAACACGGTAGAACAGGGGAAGAAGCAGGGGTAGGCTGGTTTGCAATCTGCAGTGCATTGTCTGGTCACTGGCAAATGGAGAGAACCAGACTGTGCTGTCAGTACTCCAAAATGCAATCTAAAATCCTGCCACATCACACATTTACTTGTAATGGGCATAATACATTTGTTTTAGCTTTAATCCTACTTTATAGGAGCTGTCCAGGGTGCTAAACCCTCTCCCTGAAATATAAACCGAAGGCAATATAAAGCAACGTGAGGGAACCTTCATTCATTTTGTCCAGCAACCACAGGAGGGATGTGACTGGCTGGAAGACGTCAGAAGGAGAACCAATCCTGAGGAGCCAGAAAGAGATATAAAAACAACAGATGGAGGTTTTTCAGAAGAGTTAACCAGAAGGAGTTAGATTGTGTGTAAGGACAGGAATTGGTGTTCCAGGGAGCTGTAGAATATAATTTTTTTGTTATCAGGAAGAGCTGGTTCTGGCATGGGAAAGTTGACACTAATAATACATATAACTTCAAGCTTAAGTAGGTGCCTTTTAACCGTTGTGCTCTTTAAATAAATAACATTTTCAACTTAAAACCACTTAGCTCTAATGATTTGAGCTTAGGGCATCTATGGAAAGGAAAGGACAGTTTAAAGGGGATTAGCCAGGTTGGGCTGGTCACAACCATCAAAATCCTTTCATCTGCAGCACAATGTTGCAGAAACTGAGGACAGCCCTGCATTCAAGGAGGAAGGTGGAACCTGCTCTTTAAATAAATAACATTTTCAACTTAAAACCACTTAGCTCTAATGATTTGAGCTTAGGGCATCTATGGAAAGGAAAGGACAGTTTAAAGGGGATTAGCCAGGTTGGGCTGGTCACAACCATCAAAATCCTTTCATCTGCAGCACAATGTTGCAGAAACTGAGGACAGCCCTGCATTCAAGGAGGAAGGTGGAACCAGAATAGGGGGAAAGCAGAAGGCCTGGAAAGCAGACATGTGAAGAATTCTGTTCCATGATCTGGTTCCATTTATCAGAATCCCACTTATATTTTCCATATGCTTTTTTCTGTAATCTTTACATTTATGTATGCCCTTTCCCCTAATGGATTAATTTGTTCACATGGTCCCTGTTGAGTACAGTGTGTTTGACTGAATTTTTCAATGGTATACACTTTAGCCATTCACATTATAAAAATGGATGCACTCTTTCCTGTTTGCGAGCATTCCTGCAGGCTTTACAAAGGCACACTTCTTTGAGATGTGGTTTATTCCTCCCTCCAACAAATCTTGAGGTTGGGAAATTGTTAATTTCAAGGAGACTCTGAAAATGACCAAAATTATTTTCTATTCCTACCACAAAGTCACAAGACGGGGTAAAAAAGACATAGTGGGCCAGACATTTAGATTATGGAAGTCGTAGCTCAATCCATTTGGAGAGTGTCAAATAGAA